GTGTGTGTGTGTGTGTGTGTGTGTGTGTGTGTGTGTGTGTGTGTGTGCGCGCGCGCGCAGAATTACTCACAGTAACAGGTTCCTCTGAGTGGATTGCCAAGGTAACGGTTTTCTGAGTCACATCTGCAGTGAAGAAAACAGAGAGAAGAGAGAACAAGATGAAGTAGAGTAAGAACAGATCGAGAGCGAGAATGCCTCCTCATCAGAGGCAGTGTGTGTGTGTGTGTGTGTGTGTGTGTGTGTGTGTGCGCCTCGTGCCAGAGCATTAACTCCTGCTGTTGGCGCCTCATCAAGTCTCAAAGAGGGAAATAATCTGATAATCTGAGTTTGCAAAAGTTAATTAGTTTTTTTTATTTATTAGTTTTTTTACTTTTGTTTATTAAAGCGCACACGCACACACACACACACACACACACACACACACACACACACACACACACACACACACACACACACACAGCCATGCAACACACTTCATGTAGCACCTGATCCCAGAGCGCAGAGAGCGGCATCTTAAAAGTAATGTAGCAAATTTAATCCCTTAAAGACCTCGGAGCAAACGGCACAATTTATGTAAATGACTTCCTACTTCATTATTTGAGATGTATAATCCCGAATTGAGACGTGAAAGCCAAATCAAGAATAACTACCAATCAAGGTGAATCATTTTCTTTAAGGAAAACGATCAGATAAGACTTTGCTCGTTCAGGTTTCAGAGATACACAGCCGAGCCAGTTGGGAGCGCAAACTCCATAACGGGTTAGAAAGAGCTCAGGGCGAGTTTAACTTTGTCATGTTCATTAACTTGGAGCTTTAGGATCCAGACTTGATAATCAGAGCTCAGGGCGAACATCTTCACAAACTCTCGCGGCACGTGACTTGGCTTTACCTTGATTGCAAAAATGATCGTCTTGTTACTTTTCATTCTCCCCTCGATTCATCGCCTTGTTGAAGTTACGTTTTAGGGAGAGAATACCCAGAAAGATCAGGGACAACCCTGTTCTGGAGTTCAAGATCCAAGTGCATCGAATATCTCCTAACCGGTGTGACGACAACAATTAGTATGAAGACAAAACCGTGATCTTAATAAAGCCGAAAAAAGTTCAAGTGAATAAAAATCAAATGTTGATAAAGAACAAAAACTGAACAAGAACATGTTGTTCTTCTTATCCCGATTAGGACTACGTTAATAACTCTTAGTCATTTCTGGCAGCTGTTCACATCTGCATGGAAACATCAGGAGGAAAAGAGGAAGTCCACTCTGTCGTACATTTAGTACAATCATATGCCAAACCTTTCTTTCACTACAAATACGCATTCAAATGATGTACCCTTGCTTTTTTAATCATGCTGTGCAGTCTGTTATGAGAGTTATACTTCTGATGCTTTTTCCAAACTCTTCTTGCCGGTTACACGTATTCATTTATACATGAAGGACACAGTTATAAAAGGGCACTAATGGGCTTCACGAGGGAAGAAATATACAGTTCAATTTCCCCTTTAAAGACTCAGTGACGCAAAAAAAATTTGTTTTCCCAATTTTTATGATAACAAAACTAAAAAAAAACTGACAACTAAGAGGCAGTCATTTCCTGAAGAAAGAGAATATGAACTATAATTACCCGGCATGGTTTGTGTTTATAGCAAGTGTGAAATGACTGTAAGCCCAGGGCCAATGAATCTATAACTGAAGCTAATGAGTGTCCTAACCCAGGGCTAAACACGGTGGGAAAATTGGACAATTACTAAGTTCCATTTGCCTCCAACCCATTGTTGTTAGTTGACAAACACTCTAATTTTAAAGCCTCATACATCGCAACTGTCCTCCCAAATAGAAGATACAAACACTAACTGAATCTTGACAGTGAAAAGATGCACATCTTCTCTCACCATTTTAAGATGCAGTCTCTATGCTGTCCTGCAGAGTTGGGTGAATACATTTCTAAAAGAACAGCCTTTAGACGGACATGTTTCTGTGCATTCGTTAAATAGACGGCTGTGAATGGGGGTCGTCGGGGTCCTGTAAGGTCATGCATGTTGGTCGAACCACGGCAGTTTAACACTTCCCAATATTTTTCACACAGATATCGTGGCATAAGCCAAAATAGTCAGACTTTTAAATGAAGTCCTGCCGAGCAAAATAATTTAACGTCCACAGAGCGGCGTCAACTAGTCTGTGGTTATGTGTGTTAATTAGGCTCATGGCTTTCGAAAAGCCTGTAATGAGGATGAACATATGGCAGGGTTCATTGGATTACAGTGTTCGTTATCTCCCTTTTTAATGCATCTCTCTGCTCTTTCCCTCAACCTTTAACTATCGACAATTTACTCTGACCCTCGTCATCCCTCTGCTGGAAGAAGAACTAGATCTGCACTAATAGAGTGACTGTGACATTAAAACTAATAAAAGAATTACCCATTGTCGCGCGCGCGTATCGTCTCACAGTCGTTATATCTCACAGACAACCAATTAGAGTTGTTAAAATGTGAACATCAGAGGCGGTGTTGAGGAGTCAGAGAGGACACCCAGCAAAGGGGGGGGACCGGCTGAGAGACACGAACGCCGCTAAGGAGGAGGAGGTGGCCGAAAGTAATGTTACAGGGAATGACTCTGCCTCTAAAAATAACGCAACATCGGTTGTTTTGCGACATTTTTGGATTCACGGGGCAGACGGCGTCACCATTGACGGCATTACACAAAAAAAACACTGGCAGTCAGATGTGCATGAAGACGTGTTCCAACACCTTAAATATCACCAGGGAAAAAGTTGTTAATAAAAAGTTGTTACTTGAGCTCCGATTTTGTTTTTAAAGAGTCAATCAATATTAATGAGGCTTATTCATGTTATATACCATTCCGTCTCTTGTCGCCAACAGTTGTTTTACTGGAGCAGCTGATTACTCACAGGCATGGTAAATACATGCTTTAACAATAGTAACCGACCTGAATCAGGGAGGATCCTGACTCGACATCTACCCCAGCATGTCCTGAAGTACACGCTTCAGTGCTCTAAATGATCTAATGGGGGCAGGACACTGAGCTTGGGAGGAGCCAGCTCCGCCACTCTGACTGTTAATATTAAATAGGCAAGGACAGGGTAGAGTGCTCTTTCACCACGGTACAAAGGACGGGGGACAAATGCCGCCACGGGCTTTTTGAACCTTGCGGAACATCACTCCTGAGGGCGCTTCCGCCGCCTGGCATTTGCAGATGGCAAAACAAAAACGCACACCCACGCGCCCATCGCGAAGTGTATAATGCAAATCCCCTGCGCTGCATCTTAATTTAATCTACACCTGCATGCATGCGTGCACACTTCTGAACTTCAGGCAATCCCCCTCTGCTGTATCTTAATTTGATCTACACTCAGCTTGGAACCTTTGTCTGTGTTTGTGCACACACACACACGGGGATTTAACAGGCAAAAACACACACACACAGACACAGACAGAGAGAGAGGAAATGTGCGATGAACAATGTCTGTCACACATACGCAGGCTGGAGCAAGCACACACGTGTGCACTCTTGGGTTACTCCCCGTTACCTCCAGCGCAAGAAGAACCCAGAATAATGTACGCGTCCAAATAAGCACTATAATAAGAAATATTTCCCTAACTGCTCTAGTTTGACTCATCACGCTGTAACGCAGAGCGGACCTCATCAATTGTTTTTCAAAAAAAACAATTCTATTCCGCACTGATGCGCCCCTTCGCTTCATTACTGCGGCTATTATTTTGGAGGTCCTAATGGGCGTCCACGCACGCTTGTGTGAACGCGCGCACGTGTGTACTGATGTGCACACCGTGGAAAAGACAGAGTACCCTTGTGTAGAGGTCTTTGTTTAAGGGTTACTGCTGTTGGCTGACACTGATTACATGTAATGAGATACCAGAAATTGCATTATTAAAAAAAAAAAAAAAAAAAAGGGAACCGCAAACACCCCAACTGTTAGTCAACACACACACACACACACACACACACACACACACACACAC